GAGCGAGGGATGGAGAAAGAGGAGACAGGGAACAGAGAGGAGAGAGAGGTGAGAGGGAATGACGAATATAAATGATGCCATTAATACCGCTAGAAGTTGTCTTTGAATAAATTTGCACGGTAATTTAAGGCGGTTAATTGAGATGAAAAATAGAACAATGCATTGTGAGGTTAACTGTGCATTAAATGCTTTTGGCTTGACAGCATAACGACAAACATGTGCTTCATGCTAAACTTCAAGCCTGTATGTGGCTTCATGTTATTAGGAAAGTATCGCCGAACTACTTAAACGCCAAAGTAGTTATCTAAATCATACACAAATAGTTAAATCATCATGGATCAAAGTAGGAAATTGATGCAGGTATAAATCAGATCACGAAAAATTAGTTTGCGAGCTTCCTGTAAATCACTTAATCACTTACGGAGATTTGCTGTCCGTCACCATTTTCTGCTCGGAGAAAAGAACATACGTAACTGGAGGGAACTGCACGCGGGAAAATAAATGGGTCATAGTGTCTAAATTGAAACACACTGTCGTACCCACAGCACATGCGTAGAGCGGACGTAGCACTGATACGCCCATTTACTGTGTCAATTGAGGTGAGGATGTTGCGGACTAGAGGGAAAAGTGCATTGCTATTGAGGAAAAGTATCGTTCAATTCCCTGAGAGAAGAAGAAGTCAAACATTTAATTGGCAAAATTCAAATGTTGCCATTAAGCACCGCTAGAAGTTATCTGTGAATAAATTTGCACAGTAACTTAAGGCGGTTAGTTGTGACGAAAAATAGAACAATGCAGCCTGTGCTTAAAAGTGCATAAAATGCTTCTGGTTTGAAAGCAAAGCGACAAACCTGCGCCCTACACAAAGCCGCGTTGCGCAAGTTGTATGGCTTCATGTTAAAAGGAAAGTATTGCCGAACTACCTAAACGTAGAAGCAATCATCTAATGCATATAAATAAATAGTTAAATCGTTAGCCATTGAAGGCTGGATCAAAGTAGTTCATTGATGTCGGTATGAATCAGATCCCGAAAAATATGCCATCGAGCTTCCAGTAAATCACTTCCGGGGCTTTGCTGTCCGTCACAATTTTCTGCTCGGAGAAAAAAACATGCACAACCAGAGGGAACTGCACTCGGGCAAATAAATGGGTCATAGTGTCTAAATTGCGACACACTGTCTTACCCACAGCGCAAGCGTTGAGCGGACGTAGCATTGAAACGCCCATTTGCGGGATCAAATTAGTTCAGGATAGCGCAGACTAGAGGGAAAAATGCATCGCTATTGAGGAAAAGTATCGTTCAATTCTCTGAGAGAAGAAGAAGTCAAACATTTAATTGGCAATACAAATATTGGCTGCGTGCCGTGGTGAGAGTGGAGATTAATGGTTAACTGGTGAGCGTGAAGACCAATGGTTATAATTACTGTAAATTGAAAATTTATCACTGCGATGGTGGCAGGATTCAGAATTTTCAATAAAAAAATACGTGCAAATTAATCTTCCTTTGATTCAAATCTTCTCAGTCCAATGGATGAATAATCAGGCAGTGAACATATCTATACACGCGAAGATTTCGAGTGGGCGCGGGATTTTCACACATTGTATTGTATTCACACTCGAAATTCTAATTCACACTGGAAATTATGATTCACACATTTTATTTTGTTCATAAATAAGGTGCGGCAAACAAGGAAATTATTTTCGTTATATTGTTCGTCGTTCCCATAATTTCCTAGAAATTTTGTTTACAGCTGAACTTTAACTTGTATTCACTTGAAATTTTCAAAATGTAATGTGTAATGAAGCCCATTGTGATAAGCCACCATATTGTGTCGAAATCAGACCTGCGGCCCTGCTATCAAAAATAGTTACAGAGGTAATAATTACCAGTTCGTAGATCCGTCACTTAATAATTTCAAGCTAAAGCCATCAATTACTAAAGGAAAATCGGTCATTACGTGTACCTAACGCTATATGTCTACATGACCAAAGACCGGATATTTAAATTCGAATTATTTGCGGTTTTTGCTTAAAAGGAAGGAGCTTGGCTGCGATTATTGACGCAAGAGCTCACAGTAGCACGCAAGGGCCCCCCATTCATCAGAGGACTGTTATCAGAAGTCCACTTCTGGCCTCCTGATGTGGCCTTATTCCCTCTCACAATAGCCTCTAAATTAAGGGGAACTCAGAACCTATTTCTCCATTGGATGCCCTTGGTTGTTGACGTCACTGCTCTGCTGTGTATTGATTGGTCGGTGGGTTGCATTGCGTCACAGAGATCATCCATCCTCATTGGCTGCGCGGTGATGACGTCATGGGATGCCATATTGATTACGCTCTGGCCGTCCGCGAGAGAAGAATACTTCTGCCTTCCTTAATGAGATACAGGCTCCGGAATCGGTGTCCAGGGACCTACACTGCAGGTCCCACATTATCGGGACGCATCAGATTTGCTTGCATCAAACTACAGATCAAGCAGGGACCTACACGGCAGGTCCTACATTATTGAGATATGAGCCTTTATCACAGATCGAAACGGAGGTTGTATTTATCTCCAAGTGATCGTCACATTTATTCTTCCGTATAATTCTGTGTAATAATTTAGCGGGGACGTGAAATAAACATCATAGTAGGAAAGATTTTTGAATTCAGGGTCATAATTTATTTTAAAGTTTACTTAGATGTTGATAAATGTTATAAATAGCGCAAAGTAGCGAGGTTCTCTGCCGCTAAGAGCGAAGGCAAACGCGAGGAAGGTTTGAGACGCTGACTTGCCAAAGCCAAAAGTGTTAAAAAACTTGAGTAAATATGTAAGATGCACCTGTGAAATGGAAGAAATGTTATGATACTAACTGTATGAATTATATTGACACAGTAAAAGTGTCAAGTACATCATATTAGGAAATATAACAAGTTAATATATATATAATATTAGCTGTTGAAGATCTTACCTCAAACATTGGCGGACAAGGCTGAAGTGAGGTTACAGGTAACTCAACTAACGGAGAAAAAAAAAGTAAATTTGGAAGGAGTTGGGATGGTTTGAAAATAGTTCGATATTATAGAAATATGCATTAAATAGATGCCATTTTGCTAATATTAATAGAGGTACAAATTGAAGGTCCCTGCAAGCGTGAAAATAAAATTTCCCGAATAGAATAGAATCGAGTTAAAAGCGCAACAAGAGATAGATATTTTCAAGATATACGGTCAATATATTTTGATGATACGGACTCTAATTTCGTGTATAACTCACGCTATTAACACTGAGAACGAATCTTGTACAACTATCATTCGATGGAATATAGTGGAAAATACATGAAATTTAACGCTTACCTTTGAAAAAAAATTATTTGCCATATTTCGGTGCCTGCTTTGCCGGCACAGATTCTGGCAGGCAAACTTGATATTCTCGCGGTTGTGCTCTGAGATTTATATTGGCTTCCGAGGACTCCCGAGAAGTTACGGTGTAGCTTGGACAGTTGGAAACACCAGGTTCATTGAAAACAAAACTTCAGTTGAATTTCGTACCCGAAAAATTCAAATTTTTTTGCAAATGTAATTCAAACTTTTTTTTACTGTATTTTTGTTTATTATAGTAAGGTGAAAAATTTTCCTCACTTTTATGTTCGAGAAAATGTGATCTTCTTTAAAGATAGGCATTATTTATTTTGCTTTTCATCAGATTTCTTCATTTTTTGAACAAAGGTCCATCTAAGCTTGGTATTTATTTTCTTAGAATTTCGAATTACGCAAGCAAAAGTTGCATTTGCTTCGTTGTAGGACGTCGCAGTGTTCCGTGTTTTTCTCATTACCTACCGAATTTTTCTGTGTGTGATGGAACTATTTTAACCTTCCCAGTGCAAACCGATTTCAAAAAATCCGAATACCTGAATAATACAATGTCGTAAAATCATGCGGGGTATTAAACGCAGAAAAAATTCGGTTATTAATTGGGTTATCCAAATGTGAATTTAGATTCATATTTGGATGGGAAAAATTACAGCTATGACACAAAATGTGATGCTTCTATTTTCAAATAATTCAACCAAAATTAAAAGAATTAATTTCTATTAACATAACGAACATCAATAGAATTAATTTTTATTATATTAACTAACATCAATCAAACTTCTGTTATATTTTCCCCCTTTCGTGACATCAATTTATCCAAATACAATACAAATTATGTACTGTATCTTAACAATTTTTAAAGCTATCGATTGATCGCGTTGGACCGTATCTGGGTATCTGTTTTGCACACCATAATGGGTGGCCCAGTGGTTACAGACATGCTATCATTTCTGAATCATCCTGGTGGGAAATAACTAATGATGAAGAATATGTCTAGCTGCTCGCTATCCTACGACGCTGCAGAAATCATTCCGGTTCGGTTTTGAAATATTTCGATCACAGGTAATAAATTTAATCATAACACCGTTGTGCCTCTTCAACTTTATATTGATTAGTGTATTTTCTTAGAATTTAGATGTTAAAATAAGCAAATTTACTAATGAAAATTGTGAAATGGGCAAGTTTATTACGTTAGTGGTTTGATTCTGGAAATGATCTTAAATATAACCGAAACCATTTCTAAGACCTGAATTTAAATTGCAGACTTGCTAATTCGGACCTTTTCTACAGTCTATCACAACGTGCACATTCCGGACAAAACTCAACTATTTAGTTTGCACTGTTACGGAGAACAATATGCACTGTTATCAATAACGATCTGCACTGTTAAATAGAATAGTCTGCACTGTTACTATGTCACAATTTTGTTAAATCAGGAAGGGCACAAAAAATTATATTCCTCTAGAAAAAGTGACCAGATTCAAGACACTGTGTTAGGGAAGATGATTTCTAGTGAAGAATATCTGTAAAAATTTATTTCTTAAAAATTTATTCATAATTTCATGGGATGCTGAAAACTGAGTGAGCCTTTCGTTTAAAAGTTAAAAAGGCTAAGAAGGAAGAAGATTAGAATTTTCAGACTGAAGATGGGACCACCGATTGCTGTGGGGGAAGCAGAAAGAGGAGGAGATTGGGGAGTGCGAGTGAGGTGCCCGATTGCCCCAAATTCTAAGGGGATTGTCACTGAATCTCCAGGGTTGAGGTGCAGAGAAGGAGTGAGTGAAGACACGGATGACGCTGAGTCGGAAGATGAGTGTCGGAACACAGGAGAACCGGAACCCCAGAGCAGTAGTTCTTTGACTCAGAGACTGATGTGGCTGAGACAAAGACGAGTCAGAGCATCGCAAAGTTCTTGGCATCATAAATTAAGCGCGACCGAATCTCCCTCTCCTCAAAATTCAAGAACGTCTCAAAATTTTACGAACATCTCTTTGGGATCAGCTAAATCTTCTCCGGTCCGTGTACAGTCTCCTGCCAAGCCTAAGAAAACAAAACGATTTCTAAGATCATCATCATCGAAAAAATCCTACCAAGTCACGACTGCCGTGGCCACAAAATCCAGTTCCTCGAACTCCAGCTCTTCCAATTCCAGCTGGTCTAACTCAGGACCAAGAAGAAGCCCAACATCGCCGAGCTCTGAAGAGAACGATTCAGGGTCCACCCACAGACTCGGCCGACCGTCCACTTCTCGCAGCGCTGTGTCCGATTCCTTCCATGCGCCCTCACCTTCTTCCCCTGCTTCATCCCCCTCTTCGCCACCCCAATCCCCACGCTGGCTCTTCGGAGGGTCGACCCTCGCTAGACCCTTAGTGGCGCTGGCCGTGCCCGGAATGTTTCTGGTATGCAAGTATCACCAGTACAAGCGTGCTCACCAGGAGGCTTGTCGCAGGCGGGCTGCAGAGAGAGAACTACACCACCTCAACCACAAAATTGTGAGTGCTCGGCTGCATGTACTTATTTGATTAATGTCTGGTCCGCATTACTAAGATATCAATCTTCGTTGCTTCTGCTTAAGCTTGTTACACCTGATTTTTACTCGATTGATACAACAAATTTACAATGGAATGCTATAGCAAAGTTATGGGACAACGCACAAGATTTGTGGAAACCTTTCAATTTTATTTCCGTGAATGAAAATGTATATATGAACGTCAAGATAAAACATAGTCTCAAAAAGAAACAACAAACAAAAGATGCAATGATACCTTGGGTTAGCAAGACTGAATAATTGTGCGTCTAAATAACAATTTGAAATTAACTATAGAAGTACTGTATAGGTACTGCTGAATTAACAAACGCAGACTGTTTGAAAGTTTTCCTAAATTAAGATACCACTAAACCAACAAACGCTCGTGTGGGTTGTCCTGACCCACTTTGCACTAGCAGAAGGGCGTATACCAGAGATAATACATGAGCTCGCTGCTCGTGCTGTGTATAAGAGAGTGTGTCACCGTTTGGACAATTTAACCCATTAATTTTTCGAAGGGTGTGGTTGCGAAAGCCTGAACTATGTCGTCTAAATTGGTGCAAATAATCTTAATGGCATTTGACTCTGACCACATTCATGTTTATTCAATATAGAGCAGGAAAATTAATCTAATTGGCTTTAAAAACAGCCTCATAGCTGATCGTGATGTTGCTGAAATATCAATGAATATCGACGCGTATTGCAACAGATTTAAAAACTATTCGTACATTTTATGAATTCATCATTTGAACAATTTTTAAGAAGTAATTCTCTCGTAGTTTTAGGTACATTTCAAGCCAAAATGGTTACAGTAGAAATTTCTGCTTTTTCAGTCAACCAACTCTGTTGAGGGAAAAGATACGTGCAGTAATTTTTTTAAAAATATGTGAATGATTCGAATTTGGGCTCATGGATATTTTTTAAGTTGGTCCAACACGTGCACGTCATTTTAACACGTGCAGTGTTAAAATTTGTTACGAAGATGTATTTATTGTCATCAAAATTTCGAATAAAATATATCATATGGGCATACAAACTATAGTCAGCCTCGATAAAAAAAAGTAAACTTAGCTATGAAACGATTATTAGATCCTCTGTATTTAAAGAATTAAAGCATTCGTTCCAATAATAATCTCAGTAGCTTTCGTCTTTTTAATAAAACTCAGAAACTTTTTGTCGTTCTTATTTCAGGCGAAACTACTGGACAAGCTAGACGAGCACGAGACGGAGATGGCCCGCAGCCGAGAAGAAGAGGTGAGCTGTTATGGATGAGCTTGGAAAAAGTTTTTTCTTAAATCGTGTCAAAGGTGAAATTCTTTCGAAATTCGACATAATCTGTCAAAGTTGGGAGGAACATTGTTAGTGTTTATTATTATTGAATATTTTCCAGCAATAAGCTGTAGAAACGAATAATACAGGGTGACACAAAAAAAACAGAGCTCACTAAAAGTCTTATAACTCCTGAAATTTTATTCAGTTTGAAACAAAAATTCTATGGAATTATGTACAACCTATGTAGCCAACATCTGCAAAATCTCAATTCTATACCACAAAAACTCTTTGTTCTACAGCCGCTCAAAGATATGTTCCAGATGCGCGCCCCGGCGCTGCAGGCAGACTTGGATTCGCCTGGCAAAGTTCTCAATGACCCTCCTGCACTCCTCTCTCGGGATGGCTCTGATGGCTGCTGTGATGGCTGCTTTGAGGTCAGGGATGGTCTGGGGGTTGTGCTCATACACCCTGTCCTTGAGGTAACCCCACAGGTAGAAGTCTGGGGGGTTCAGGTCTGGTGAGTGCGGTGACCACTCCGGGTGGCACCTGCGGCTGATGAGTCGGTCCTCGAAGCGCTGCTGCAGCCACTCCAGGGATCTATCGGAGGTGTGAGGGGTGGCTCCGTCCTGTTGAAACCACTGGAGGGCTCTGTCAATGCCTCTACGTCGGCCAAGTGCTACCCAGAACTTGCGCAGGACCTGGANTCGGATTTCGTACCCGAAAAATTCAAATTTTTTTGCAAATGTAATTCAAACTTTTTTTTACTGTATTTTTGTTTATTATAGTAAGGTGAAAAATTTTCCTCACTTTTATGTTCGAGAAAATGTGATCTTCTTTAAAGATAGGCATTATTTATTTTGCTTTTCATCAGATTTCTTCATTTTTTGAACAAAGGTCCATCTAAGCTTGGTATTTATTTTCTTAGAATTTCGAATTACGCAAGCAAAAGTTGCATTTGCTTCGTTGTAGGACGTCGCAGTGTTCCGTGTTTTTCTCATTACCTACCGAATTTTTCTGTGTGTGATGGAACTATTTTAACCTTCCCAGTGCAAACCGATTTCAAAAAATCCGAATACCTGAATAATACAATGTCGTAAAATCATGCGGGGTATTAAACGCAGAAAAAATTCGGTTATTAATTGGGTTATCCAAATGTGAATTTAGATTCATATTTGGATGGGAAAAATTACAGCTATGACACAAAATGTGATGCTTCTATTTTCAAATAATTCAACCAAAATTAAAAGAATTAATTTCTATTAACATAACGAACATCAATAGAATTAATTTTTATTATATTAACTAACATCAATCAAACTTCTGTTATATTTTCCCCCTTTCGTGACATCAATTTATCCAAATACAATACAAATTATGTACTGTATCTTAACAATTTTTAAAGCTATCGATTGATCGCGTTGGACCGTATCTGGGTATCTGTTTTGCACAGCATAATGGGTGGCCCAGTGGTTACAGGTCAGGGCCTATACTTTCGTAAGTCGAGATATACGAGAGAGATCGTAAGTTCATCAGCCAATCATTGACGGCCTTTCAAGCAAAATCCACCAATCATAGACAAGAAAATAGAGCGTAAGTACTTACGTAGTGAATTTTGAAAGTATGGCCCCAGAGTACCAAGATTGGAGCAGGGAGGCGCGGGTTCGATCCCAGGCTCTGTGCGCCAGTTTCTGGTCAGAATCGGCAAGGAGGCCGGGCGGTTAAGCAAAGCAGAATTGTAGCAACGAGTTGCGAGTTCGAGACCGCAAAATGCTGTGAATGTTCTGCGATGTTAAGAATTGGCGACAGGCCTACGGCCTAATAAACTCTGAAACCGATGTATTATTATTATTGTATAATGTATTCATTTTGTTCTGTTTCTATTAGTAATAGTTTTATGCCGTATCTACTAACAATTTTTTGGTGTATCGTATCCGTTTTGTAATGTATTTAGTAATTATTTGAAATTATCTAGTAATCACTTGGAATGTATTTTGGTATCTGTTCTGAATTAGATCTAGGTAACCGTTTTGTGCTGCATCTAGTTACCTCTTTTTAGTTTATCGCAACTGTTTTGTGCTATGTCAAATCACTGTTTTTTAGTTCATCGAATTTATTTTGTACTGTATCTAGTCATCGTTTTTACTGTATCTATTCGAAGTTTTGTACTGTATCTATAG